TACTGATAAACAATCTGGGCTAGTCACATGCAATGGGTCCAGTCTCTTAACTAGGATTAATAGATATTAACTGTGGCTAAGGCAAACCACATGCCATTTGACTGGAATTTTGTAGCTGTTTAAGAATCCTTGTTGAACAAGGAACCCAGTTATACTTAGCCATTGTTAAGGTCAGTGCCAAAATATTCCTTCAGTGGCATTAAGTTAGGATGAAGGAATTTTACCCGGAGAAGTTGCATGCAGGTTTCAGAATCATAATTAAGAGATCTGGCCTGATATAATGCACTAGATCTTTGGGGCAGACATAGCGTAAGACTTTATACCATTGCTAGAACACATGAAGCTATTGCCCCTGTGAAGGGATAGGTACATGATCGGATTCAAATATATACGTACTCCCTTGCTTTTGGGTTGTAAGTGGCACTGAAAATGTAACCATTTATATTACAAACTGGTATGCCATTGCCCAGATTATTTTCTTCTAATGATTGGTCAAATTCTGCTAAAATCGAGTTTTATTGTGAATGAAAATATCCAGGGAATATACAGCTTTAGGCTACATAATACAATACACTAGCATTGAATATACATTGTGTTATGTAAAAGCCTCCTGACACTTGGCAGAAGATACCCAGTGCCATGTTAATAAATGGGAACAAGCAAATCTTTGGTTTGAAAAACAGCAGTAATCAAATGAAACCAATGATATTTCTGAAAGTGTGAAGGGAAAGCTAAAGCAAGGTCATGGAAGAGTACCTAAGGCACCTCATGTAAAGATGTTTGTCATCTTTTCTGTACCCCTCAAGACCACTAAATAAATGTGATCCAATACTAAATGTACTTGCCTGGGAATGTGGAGTGGGGTAAGACAAAATCACATTAAATTTTAGGTGGCAAAAGAAAAGTTGACATGTGATGAAAAGGTTAATGGCCAGAAGGGTGTGGGAGAACAAACCAGCTCTCTTTCCTGCCCCTTCTCCTTGGATCCTTATACTTAACAAGTTTTGGGAGCTGGTGAATTGTAAGCATGGGACAGGAGCTCCAGGCTGGAGAAGGAGAGACAATTTGGCTTTCTTTTCTCACATGCCTAGGTTATGCTACACTGGTTGTCCTGGAGATGAGGCAAAAAAAAGAAGCAAATTATGCCCGTTGGAAAGTTTAACAAAATACACAGTGTCTCAAACCAGCAGAAGGCACAAAGAGCATGGCCTGTACCCATAGGACAAAAGAGCCAAACTAGACTGTAGCTTACTACTTTATTCCATGGGTTGCAGGCAGCTCTAGCATGAAATGTGGCTTTGTATTTGGTGATGAACCAGGCTGGTATCTTTCAGAACAGGAGTTGATCCTTTTCTCTTTGCATTCAAATGTTTTAAAAATTGGTATTTTGGGTTCCTAGAATAATCAAGCCAGGGTAGGGCCACTAGTACCAAGGTAAGTCTTTACTGAAAATTTTCAACTAACCTAAGTCATAGGCAGATGTCTTTTAATGTTTGTTTGGGGGAGGACTGGGATTTCACATGTTTGTTCCTTATCCCTGGCATGCCCACGTAGGCCCTGCCTGATGCCTATGAATGGAACATTACAGCTTGAAATGCATAGGCCTTATCCACATTGTGCTCACCCCCATTTATGAAATGTAACAGCCACATGGATTGGACCTACACAACTTAAGCTCTATATATGTAGTCCTCTGTTACAACACAATTTCAACACATGAATATCAGGCAGGGAGGTATAGTGTGTTGGATCCTACCAACTTTTCTGCTAGCAAAAGAGGGAGGAGGGGACCCTCTTGATCACCAAAAAGGCTATGCTGAGAATCATGGGACAAGTACTGCAGTGTGGAAGAGTATCTGGCACAATTAATTGCTAAGAATGTCTACATAGGGATTTAAAGTCATTGAACAAGTATGAACCATCGATGGTCAGTATCAGCATTTAGCACCAATTAATAACAGCATAATTTTGTGTTCTTATACTGTAACATACAGTGGCAATTGTCTCATATAATAATTGTGTGGCAATTGTTTCTTTGATGTTTTTTTAGGTAGAACATTTTTAGTTTGCATCCAGGTTTATTGACATTCTGCTTGTTTGCAGGATCGGAGTGTTAGCACTGAAGTTGTTATCTCACTTGACACACAATTTGGCATTCTAAGAATCTTTAATTTCAAAAGTAGCAAGTTTCTTACTCTCTTGACTGTGGAGAACAGCCAGGAAGCCAAACAGTGTGACTCCACAATTTGCGTTCACAAGTTGAGATACTGTGCTAGAAGATTACTGTACTAGGAAATAGAACTTAAATAAATTAGGACATTTTTAACATGCGTTTCTGTTACTGTGTCAGCAGGTTTCCTTCCAGTTTATGCAGATATTTAAATATTTGATTCATTTGATTCTTCAGGAGCTCAGTGTCTTGAGTTTGGCTGACTTCCAGCAATTTATCTTTCTTAAATGTTATCCAAATTAACATATATTTTGATATTACTGTAAATTTCAACTCTGAAATTGCATTCAAATCACCTAAGTGAGTTTATACTCTAAACATCCTGACAAGCAGCAGAAACCATTTGCATTTCTGTTGAGACATTTCTTTCCCATTGATGGTCCTTTGCACTGGAACCTTTGTGCTAAAAGTGCAGGGAACTGCAAAACCATAGCTATTTCTACAGCTCCTCCCATGTTGGACAGCAAATCCATCCTTCATTGCGATGATATTACAACGTAGCTCGGCCTGGACTTGATTCGAAGGGTGAAAAGTCAGGCATGGTCCTTTTGTCATTAGAAACCATGCTTATCATTATGGGAATGACACCTGGAGGGGGGGTCCTCAGGCTTAAACACACACTTGTTAATTTTCAAGCCATACAGAGGAGAGGGGAAAGCCTGCAAGCCCAACAATTCCCTCAGGCTTGTTGCTTCTCCAATGGTGTCACTATTATAGGCACCCCATGCCTCACATTCAGTATGGCAAAGGTTTGCCAAGCTAAGGAACGCTGCTGGCTGCCTGTTTATTAGAACTGCCTGCAGCATTCATTTACAACCCTTTTTTTGGCTACAAGTGCAGTCCTATGCATTACTCAGAAGTAAGTCCCCCAGTGGGACTTACTCTGAGGTAGGTGCACATAAGATTGCAGTATTAATCAATTAATTGATTAGATTATCCATAAACTTTTGGATTTACTAAAAAAAGACCCTGCCCCAATTAATCAGGCAGCACACCATAATTATTTTAAATATAAGTACCTACTTTAAAAAAATGCAGATGGCAAGAGCCATCTTAGGAGAGGTGTTCTCCCTTCTCTTTTACACAAAAACTGCAACACACAGTTGCATCATCTAAAAGCGAAGTCTACCTTCCCGCCCCCTTCAAAACAGTTCTTGTACTCCTACCCACATTTAAGAATATTTATTTGGTTAATTCATCAGTTACAACTCATGCAATCGGTCAGCTAAGATTTCTTTTAATGAGGTGGCAGCTATCGTTTTTGGTGACAAGCAGTCACCTCTACCTTGTGCTGCTGCTGGGCTGGGACGGCTGGCTGGCCTCTGTTGGAGAGAATGTGCTGGGGCTAGAATGGGTCCCATGGTCTGATTCTGCACAGGCAGTTCTTATATTCTGTTCTCAAGTCTTCAGTTCAGATACAAATTAAAATACGTCCTATGTATAATTGGGATGGAGACTCCACTTTTCTGGATTTCACTTTCCCTTTTTGCTACTGGCCTACATTGGGCCACATTCACCGTAATGTAGGCACTGCAGGCCTTGTCATGGGAGGGGAAAAACCACTCAGGGAACACATAGGGCAGGAAGATCTGAGGTAAATACAACATTGTAAATGGGGCATTTTGTTTAGCATTGGATGGTGATGAGAAAACTGAAAAGAAACCTGGCACTCACGGTGTTTCCTAGTAGGGTGGTGGGGCAGCTTCTGCCAGCTGGAGAGGTAGCCTGCACACTGCCTCTCCTGGGCCTTAACAATCCCTTGAGGAGGAAGGTGACAGTGTACCACCAAGCCACTCTTACCTGCCCTTCCACTTACTTGAATTGTGCTTTGCTGTCAAACAACTATTCAGCAATGTAAGAATGTCAAGGTGGGGATGGGTGAGAATCATAAATTGCTTTAACCAGCCACTGTCAAGTCTACTTAAAGACTGGCACAGATTCATTGAGAAGCACGAGCACTTCAACAGCTGTAGTCCTCCAAGGCTGTCAGGTGAAATGTCCCACTAACTTCTTGCATGGTTTGTGGAAATTATCAAGCATCAGCTGTAATACCCAGAAGCCTAGTTACATTTTAATGCAAGTTAATTAAAAACTGTACAACATTTAGTGTTCATAATAAATGCTCAATAACCACTAACACTTTTGGCATTCTCCAAGAAAGCGCATGAAGCTCTAAAATGGATACTGTACTGCATTTTGGTTTCTTCTGTAGATTCCACCCAAAACAACTTGTGCTCATAAAGTACATAAAGCCACAATGTCTTCCTTTCCCCCCTACCTTTCCACCTAATGCAGCATTCTCTTCCTTTAGGTGTGGCCCATTTCCTGTTCACTGGGAGCCACCTTTGGCTATGTGGCTGGTCTCCTCATTGCACCTTTGTGGATATACTGGAATAGGAAGCAGCTTACATACAAAAGCAGATAATGGACGCAAAGAAAAGAGAAGGCTTTGTTTTGTTCTTGTGCCGATTCCATAAAGACTGTGCAGAGACTTCCATGTGGGTCAAAGCTATCCAAATATCTTCAAAGCGTCATTGGGCCTTGCACCTCCTTTCACAGCCGGGTTTGCGTGCTGTGGCAACACGATGATACATCTGCCATGTGTCCTAAATTGTGTTACCCCTGAGAGATTGTACCTTCCTTCCAGTCCTAATAAATTATTTTGAACAGATGGTTGCTTGTGCCTTCACAGATATGGGATTTTGTCTCCTCCCTTCTCCCCCACCCTCTGGATTTCACCACGTGCCAATTCCTCAAATCATCTTCCAAATTAATTTATGATCAGTTAACAGGAGGATTTTAAGAAGTGTGTATATGCATGGAAGTTTCACAGTAGGTGTGGCCATTGTCCCAGTGGGGTCTCACGTGATGAGGCAGCAATTAATGCATCTCGATCCTATTCTTTTTTTCACTGTGTGTTTCTTTGGAGTTAAAATGGCTATAATAGCTTCATCAAAAACGGTCTTCAGTCCTTTCTGTGTTAAAGCTGAGCACTCCACGTAGCAGCAAGCTCCTATCTGTCAAGAAAACAAATGTCTTTAATAGCTACAGAGGCACTGACTGTCCTCCCCAAAATCTATTTGTAAGCTCATGGGGGCTTTCATTTGTACAGGAACATCAGAGGGTTTGTGTTTTTCTTTTCTTTGCCTTGTGAAAAACATTCTAGCATTTGACCCTCCAGGAAAAGAAGTTACTCTTACTTTGTCTTTTGGTGACAGGTTTAGAATGTATTTCATTAGGTTCGGGTCCTGAAGAAAAACACATTAAAACCAGAGTGTTTGTTTTAAATGGTTGGCCTTATGATTGTAAGGCATTTCAGGAATCATGTGGGCAATTCTGTAAAGATTACACTCTTAAACGAATAAATAAGCCTATAAACAAAAGCAGCCTTCATAATCCAGCATCACTTCACCTGGTGTTTTAAATAATAGTAATTTTGGAAGGTACTGCCAGCCGTTCAATTATCTCACTATTTTAATGTGTTTGATTGTCTTCCATTCAAAAGAGCTATTTTCTAATTATTAAAAAAAGTATTAAATGAACCAACCTAGTTAGCAGTACTTAATATTATGTTTTATTCATGAGCAAAATAGCTTCATTAACTACTAAGGTCGCACTGCAGCCTTGAAAAAAAAAATTCTAATTGGGCCGTGTGTGTGTGTGTGTGCTATGGTAGCAGTAGAGCACACGCTTTGCACGCAGAAGGTCCCAGGTTCAGTCCCTGGCATGTACTATTGAAAGGACTTCAGGCAGCAAGAGAGAGATCTTTCTCAGCCTGAGACCCTAGAGAGCGGCTGCCAGTTAGTAAGGACTACGGATGTTCACTTAGATATGTCCAGTCTGAATATATACCCCCAAAAGTACCTTATTGGTACATTCAGGTATCCAGAACAGTATTCAGGATTCTCAGGAATACTGATATCTGGGTCCGTTATATTTCCAGGAATATCTGGGGCCAGCACTTTAAGGATTCCAGGCATGTTCTCCCCCCCCCCACACACACACAACAGGTTTCCTGGGCAACATGATGGTGGATCCCAGCTGGTGTGTGTGCCAGGCACAGGGCCTGGCAGAGTTGTGAGTCTGGCTGGCTCCTTTTCCTTCCCTCCCTCTTGTCCCTAAGTACAGATGTAGCATGATTGTAACAAAAGTAACCTTTGTGCACAGGGGCCACTCTGGAAGGACAGTCTCTTCAAATAAACCATGTCTTCTTGAGTGCAAAACTTAAGGCAACCTAGTTATGCAAGTCTGCAGCAAAATCTGTTCAAGCACAAAACCTACTGGCTGGTGTGCCTGTGTCATTATAAAGCCCATCTTCACTCTGCAATTATTTTTAAATGGTACACGCTGGTACCCCATGAATATTTAAATGAATACAGGCATCACTTTAAAAACATGGAGTAAATGGGGAAGTACGAGATGGGTGACTGAAACAGGATTTGGTTAGCTATCACATCTAGTTAGTTACAGTCCTTCTGCCTACCAGCATTTTTAAATGGTTGGTTTTAATTTGGTAGTTTTTTTGTGTTTTTTTGCTGTTTGTGTTGTAAGGTAGAAAGGTAGCTAATAAGTAATAAATAAACATAAGTTTATCATTCACACTGTGAACTCAGGAGGAAGCTGGGCTGAAGCCCCCCCCCCCCCCCCCCAATCAACTCTGCAAGCTGTTTTCAGTGTATGCATCTAATAAGTCTTTGGTTCTTTTTGTATCCTCTTCACTTGCCTCTGGAAAATGACACGCCAAGTCTCTCCCCACCCTCCAAAGTCCTATCTACTTTCTAGAAAGTTTCTGCAAGTCACTCTGGTTAGCAATGAATTTGTTTCATTGTGCCACGAAGTCACTTCTAGAATTTGTTGAGGCTATGCAACACTGTGAGCCAATGTTGGGGATAATTACAGACTTAAAAAAAACCCACCATGCTTTATCACAACTGTATCCAGCCCTTCTTCCAAGGAACACAAGGTAGGATACACGGCATTGGTCCATTTTATTTTCACAGAAACTCTTATGAGGCAGGTTAGTGAGGCACTGGGCATTAGTGACTGAGCACCCAAGAAATTGAAATGCAAGCCCTGCCTGGAAAGATTCGGGTCAAAGCTGGCTGCAGCACTTCTACCAGACCTACAGGAAGGTCAGTTATAGGCTGGGATCCAAATCAAAAAATCCATCTACGTTTGTGCCAGAGGAAGGAGGTAGGGAGCGAGGTGCAAAAAGACAAACAAGCAGACAAGGAGACCAGTATTTGGAGCAAAACTTGAAATCTACAATAAGACCAGAGTCTGGCTGTTGTCCAGCAAAGATGTCAACCTGAACAGGTCAGGAGAAGGGAAAGGATGTGCATACACATGCGCATGTATGCCAGCCCATGGAAGAATCCACTTTCCTCTATTCTGTAGCCACAAGGGGCACCAGTGCACAGACTAGAAGCTTCTCTCCAGTCCAGACTCAACACAGTATCAACTTGATGGACTGTCTTTTGGTTTGTTTCTGGCTTCAAATGAGCAGAGCCGCTTTCAAATAAAATACCCACCAAGTTTTCCAAGACACTTCTCCAGAATGTCCAGTGCATTGTGGCCAATAAAGCTCTTTACCTCTGGGGCATGAAGGATTTCTGATAATTTCTCCCTCATGTACTGTAGCGGTTCATGAATTTCTAGCAATAGTAGTGGTAAGAGTAGAGTAAACTTTAGGTCAGAATTGCATGTTTGGAGATAGCTGAGGAATCAAGGACTGATAAGTCCACTGGTGGTAATGAGGGCCAATGCTGGATAAAGGAACTGTATCTATTAGAACCAACACACCTTGAGGAAGTGCGAATAGATCCTGTGCCAGTAGCATCCAGGGAAGAAAATGGGGATAGGGACAGGAACACGGTATGTTCATACTTAGGAAGGAGAAGCAAGCAGTGTTCCCTCTAAGATGAGTTAGTGTGAGATACCTCACAGTTTTTAGCCTCCAGCTCACACATTTCTGTCTTAGCTCAGGAAGGATGGCTTCAGAGCAAACTAATTTCTGCAGTAGCCAAATCGCTTGCTCACAACTTTAATGCCAGTAGCTCACAAAGTAGAATTTTTGCTCACAAGACTCCAAAGCTTAGAGGGAGCATTGGCAGCAGGTATTACTATTGAAGGAGAGTTGCATGTCTAGGGAGGGAGCAGGACTTAGTAGTACAGGATATGTTTTGTACCCAGGTTAATCCCCAGCATCTCCATTTAGAAGGCTCAGGTAGTAGGTGATGTGAAAGACCTCAACCTGAAACCCTGGGAAGTTACCAATCAAAGTAGACCGAATAGATCTGGAGAGAGCAATGTTCTGAATCACATTAATCCCTTAAAGTTCCCTGAATGGTAGAGAAGTCAAGTATTGCCAGGTTTTTGTGAAATGAGCAAAATGTGAATGGTAGTTTAGTGCAGGAGTATACATTTGGATCTACCTAAGCCAAAAATTTACCCGAAAGATACCTTTACTGAGTATATTTCAGCTTCCCAAATGTATCCAGGTTTTCTTTGGAATACTGAAAAATATTGCGAGAAAATCCTGGATATATTCAGGAATTACTGGTAGATCCAAAAACAGCAGAGAGGCGGGAGCAGACTGCTCCTGCCTCTCAACTGTTTGTCAGGCTTCTACTGCAGTCCCTTTAAGGTTGGGAAGACAGCCTGAGGATCAGCTGTGCTGCGGGGAGCAGACTGTTCCCCCGGGGGGGGGCGGGGGGGGGGGGGGGGGGTTACTGGGCTTCTCGTGCAGCCTCGTTTAAACCGGCCTGCAGAAGAAGCCAGCTCCAGAAGCTGCTGTGTCATAGGGAGCAATCTGCTAGCTGTGACACACCAGATCCTGGGGCCGGCTTCCCCTGCAGGAGAAGTCATCCCAGCCAGGATCTGTGTGTGGTGGGGAGAGACCCACCCACCCACGCAGATCCCGGGGCCAGCTCCTGCAACGCAGTTTAAACCGCAGTGCAGGAGAAGCCAAGCCAGCCCCAGGATCAGGCTAGCTTTTTTAAACCAGTATTTTTCTTCTCGGGTCTTTTGGACCCGAAAAAATTCAGGATTTCAAAAAAATCCTGGATCTGAATACCATACCGGTATTGGGATCCGGGTTTTTTTTTTAGAAATACTGAATTTTTGCCAGGTCCAATAGACCTGAACCGAAAAATACCAATTTTTTTTTTTAATTGTGCACCCCTAGTTTAGTGAGTGTGGAGATCTAAAGGAAAGCAAAAGGTAGAACTGAAATGTTCACATGAGGTGCAGAGAAATACACTATATTATCATTACAGATGAGTCCAAATGGCATCTGTACATATGAGATGCATTTCTGGCTTGCTGCTGAAACAACCACAAAGCGTTTTCCTGGTTTTCAATCAACTCTGTATGACAGTTCTGATGTGATGGGCACCTGCTACTTGATTGGTGAAGGACAGCTATCTCGTGGTATGAGAACAGTGGGTGATCCACTCTTCCACCACTGCTCTCTGAAGAGGCTGGCATTGCTGCTTCTAGTACTCCACTTCAAAGTAACAGTTTCAAGCATATTAGTATAGGCCTGGCTCATTCACTTGATTCTTTCCTGTTAATGTCTCCTTATTTCACTGCAGTTGTTCTTTCATGTAAGACTTCATAAAAGCTTTCAAAATGGGAGTAGAAGGGAAAACCCAACGGGCTAGCCTGTGAGTTTCTAAATAACCAACTTACCTCTTTTGCTAGCTTCTGTCCTTGCTCCACAGATATTGGTTTCTCTTTCATATCATTCAGCCGTGCTAAAGTTTTGGGATCATCTCGAAGATCAATCTGTTGGGAAAAGACCACAAATCATGGGCATGCTTTCTCATGCAGCGCAACCTTGGACTGGAACTGGGTACAGCAACTATTCTTCTAAGAGTGCAGCTGCCTAGGGCAAAGGTGGGGCGTTTGCAGAAGAGACCCACCAGGTGGGGAAAGGGCACTTAATCTTGCTGCACTCACCAGTTCTCCCACATAACTCCTTCCCCCTTGCTGGTTTCGAGATCAGAAATAAGCTCAGTTGTGTGTGTGTGGGGGGGGGAGAAGTGAAGGAGGAGACACTGAAGGAGAGAAATGGTTTTGCTCCCACCCACCACTTCTACTTGCAAATTGCCTCCCACTCCACCCCCACATTAACTATTAACAGATGAATTCCTTAGGAAATGCCTGGTTTTGTACCGTGTAGTGCTGCTCTGAATCTTAGAACATTTTTGCAATTACCCTTTCCAAGCACAAAATAATTTTAAAAACCAATAACAACTGCAATAAGAAAACAATCTAAAACTATTAGATTTTAAATTGAGAAGATCTAAGCCCAGCAGTGCCGAAGCACAGAACACAAAATATAAATGAGTATTCTAGGAGAAGGCAGGCCTCTCACAGGACAGCCCCACATGTAGTCTGGGAAGCTAGCAGGGTAAACACTGTGCAGCTTGTATTTCTCCCACCATCTCCCCACCCCACCCTCTAGATATGGGAGAACAACAATGCAGAGCTCCACAACCTGTATGGAAAAGACCCTGGAAAGAGGTGAAAACTCTCATTCCACTATCCCCCTAAGAGTTGGCAAGGTTTTTTTTTTTTTTTGCAATAGATGTGATTGGTTGTGTGATGAACCATAAGGATTTCCCCCCCATTCCTCTGCAGCAAGTGACACATAATCAACTGAATCTGGTTGAATTCCACAATTGATAAAACAGTGTGCAATATAGATTCATACAGATTTTGCTTTGAACCTAAGTTTTGAAAGAACTTTTAGCATCAGACCTGAAGGAGGGGCACACTTGAGGAACTTAGTTTTCTGCGAGTATGGTGCACCTTAGTCTATCTTTTATTTCACTTCTGGCATAACACATTTTGGATTTCTGCAAACAAATTTGCCATTCCATGCTTTTAAGGGTAGTACAGGGCTAAGGAAGCCAGTCACAGGGACTAGAAGACTGTAGTCGTCCTCTCTGGCTGTATACCTTGACATATCCCTTATTACTTTTGTTGCAAACCAGAAAAAGAAGATAAACGCCTATCTGGCTAGAGGGAAAAATGGCATAAGAAAGAGACTGGAAAAAAAGAGGGAGTGGTTGGAGCTTGGACAAGCTCAGTTCCAGGCACAGAATGTTAAGAGTTGGAAGGAACCTTGGAGGACCAAGAAGTTCAGCTGGTGTAGGGTTGCAACTAAGAAACTGAGCTGCAAATCAGGAGCTCTCTGGCCCAAATCCCACCAAGTGGCCTTGGGCAAAACGGCCCGTTCTCTCTCAGCCCATCATCTCCCATTTTCAATATTAAGAAAATAAGAAGTACTGCCCTCACATACAAAATAAGGTATGTGAAATGCTTTGGACATTCTAAAATACTATATAAATGTTAAGTATGATCATAAGGCAAAAGCCTAGTTGGAAAAGATAAGCTCTGAGAAGGGACTTGAAGAGGAAAGTGAAAGATGGTAACATGTAAGTATTCTGAAAAGGCATTTAAAGCAAAGGGGAGAACTGGCAGAGTCAGGCCCCGGTCACACGGGCCGGATATTCCGAGGGGGGGAGGCGTGGCTAATTGCCCCGGCGCAGTTTGATCCGCAATTATGCGATCAGACGCACCAGCGGCACACCACGGGTCCTTCCCTCAGCGCCGGCAGATAAACGAGGGACCAGAGGGGAATGCTGCGCGCCGGTGCGATCACACCACGGCTGTCTGGAGGCAGCCCATGGCAAACGTTTACTAGTACCTTGGAGGTACTAGTTTTTTAACGCGCATTGTCGGCGGTAAGCCACAGGTGCGCTCCCCAGATGTTGGGGTGTGATCGCGCCCGGATAATCCGCCCACCATCCGTGTCTCTCCCATGGCAACTTTGTGGTGTGACCGGGGCTATAGTTAAGTAGGCAGCAGACTTTTTTGGCTTCACTTTAGAGCTGGAGAGCGAAGGAACTGAATAAGAAATAAGGACAGAAAGGCAAAACAGGCCAAGACTATGAAGAGATTTTAAACTAAGGGCCAGGAATTCATGCTGGATGTGCTACATTCGAGTCCAGTAGCACCTTAAATCTTCATCAGGCATCTTACGAACTGAGTTTTGACTCTCGAAAGCTCATACCCCAAAAATCTTGTTGGGTCTCTAAAGTGCTACTGGACTCAACCCAAGCTGTTCTACTATGGCCAACGTGGCTACCATATGAATCTATCATGCTGGATGTGGAGGAGGATCCTTTTGCTTTTGTAAAACACATGATACTCAGACCTACCTGGGTTCCAACTAACAAGAAGGGTACATTTGGAGCATATTCTTTCAGCTCTGGCACCCATTCCTCCTTCACGTTCTGAAAGGAAGCTGGATTTACCACAGAGAAGCAAATGAGGAAGACGTCAGTCATGGGATAAGATAATGGTCTCAGGCGATCATAGTCTTCCTGGGGAAAGACAAATGAACAAAATTATTTGCCACTAGTAGCATTGTAGCAGCACCTCAGCTGCTGTAACTTTTGTTCTATATATTCTGATCATTCTGAGCAGTACTGGGAGAAGGAAGCACCATATACATCCACTGAGTACCTTAAAGGAAAAGCAAGATAGAAATGTGATAGACAGGTCATTGTGTTACTGTGTTCCTGACTTTAACTTGAACATTGCAGCTCTACAACTGAGTCTACAGACTGACTACTATGATGGTGCTGCTAGGAGAAAGTTAATACACACACAAGAGTCACTTATTTTATTCAGATTATAGCTCTGATAGGGGATTAAACAGAAGATCAACCTTAGACTGAAAGAATCACATGACATCATTAGGGCGCAAGTCTTCTAGTCAAGCAAGCTGTTTAAGTTTGGGGGGGGGAGAATCACAATATTTATTTATTTCAAAGAATTTTTCTTACTCTGCCTTTCTACTAAAAACTACCCAAAACAGATTACTAAATAAAAAACTATTTCTTTTCAAAAAAAATGCCAACATCTGTTAAAAATCCAACTACAGCCACCTAGAATCAATCCTAAAACAGCAAACAACACTAAAATCAGTAAGAACCACTAATCAGCAAAAATGAATACATACATGCATAGACAGATTATACCATGTCAGAGTCAGTCCACGTCATCTATCAACAAATGTTCTCCACAATGCAACAGTTTTTGCACATCTCCAGAATGCTGAAACAAAGGAAGCTAAACAGGCCTTCTGGTAGGATTGCCAGCCACCCGGTGGGAGTGGGGAATCCTCTGCCTCCAGTGGTTATCAGTGGTGGGAGAAAAATAAAATTAAAAATGACCATCAGCTGAGTCACTTCCAGGTTTACACCCCTCTAGGAACTGGCCAAAACTATATGGTAAAACCACAGAATTTTCAGCAATTCCTAGAGGAGAAGATTGACATGACTTCCAGGCTTTCCCAGAAGTGACATCACATAAAACCATAGAATTTTCGGTGATTCCTATAGAGAACTGACATCTCTTCCATGTTTCCCAGAAGTTATCTCTAGGAATCACCAGAACACTATGGTTTTACATGACATCAGCTGATGCCTCCCATGTCCCCAAGGCTCCTGCTGGTTGTCAGGCCGGGCAACCCTACCTCTTGGGCAGATAATTACAAAGTCTGCAAGCCACAGCTGTGTCCCACATGCCTACCAATCTCATATCTGTTACGAGGAGGATGATGTTCAAGGTTGCTGCTTTAAGTGTGGCCCACATGTAGGCCTTGCCATAAAGTTCTGGAGTTGATACACATCAAACCCCCAACTTCTCCATTCCACCACAGTGCCCCGCAGTTCTGGCAGCCTTGTCTAATAAAGGATGAAATAAAGCCAGCGAAGGTTCAGAGGGTGGGGGAAAGCAATTAAACAAAGCAGGGCACGAATCATCTTATAAAGAAAGGCTTTAACAGTTGGGGCTGAAAAAATACAAGAGAGATCAAGTAGAAAAGAAATCAAAAGTTGTTTAAGAGAAAACAACTAGCTGAAAAATTGTCATTTTCTCTCAGAATACAGTAATCGGGATCAGGCTGAAGACAAACAGACAGTCATTGAACACAATTAACCTATGAACTTCACTGCTACTGGATTTTGTGGCAAGCACCAGCAGCTTTAAAAATTAATTAGATCAATGCATGGGATGCTACTAGCTATTAACAGCCAAAAATGCAACGTCCGTTGTCCAAAGGATAGAGTACCTCTGACTTGTGACTAACAAGCCACCAGGGAAATGGAAATCCCAATCTCTGTATGCCTTCACACTTTCTGCTTATGTATTGCATCCAGAGAAGCATTGTCTTAAACACCCAACTATAAATTAGTTTTGTTTCCAGAGTATACTTCCATCAGTCTACTGTGAGACTTCAGTCTGAGAAAGGGGGATATTAAATAGACCAGAGACAGATAATTGTTATAGAGTGTTGGAAATGATTTGAGAGAGGCGCTGATTCCCTTGGTGTACATATACTTAGGAGGGAGGGGGCAGTCCCACCCTGGCTAAATGAGTTTTGCAGGTTTTTTAAAATACAAAAATCTTTAATATATGAAAACTTGCAAAACCTGTTCACCAGAAGCAAAAAGTACGTACATAACATGAAGAAAGGCCCCATTTTCACTTTGTGTTAAGCTCTGAAAAATTACCATTGGTTATCTGCTGCCTGAGAAAAAATGTCAGCCATTAAAGAACTATGATAAATTTCAAAATAAGATCAGTAATATTATTGAACACATGCATACATACAAGATATGTTTGGGTTGTCTACCAATCGACCCCCAGCAAACAATGTTATCTGGTGGACAGGAACCACTTGCAGCAAACTACCCCTCAAAAAACAGTCCTGAATCCAACCATGCAGTTCTTCTCACTGAATGGTTTTTCCACTTGTGGGGAGATAGTAATTTCAACTGATTCTTCAATCCCACAGTAGACACCCTCTTGGCTCCCTATGTTGTTCCTGAGGAACAAAGTGGAAGGGGGCTCAGTGAAGAGTGAAAAGTGGGAAAGCCCTGATCTGCAAAGTCCATAGGTGTTTGGAAACACATCACTGCATATGGAATTTGGATCATGCTAACAGTGGTCAGGGAGCAACGGAGAGATTAAATGTATATTTACTCATCTGGTGAGTAATTTATGCTGATCACTGGAAATATGTGAGAAACAGTATTTTTTGTGTGTCACGTAGCTGAAGCGTTAAATGAAAGGCATTCCTCACTATAGGAACCAGGATTCCAGTGAAGAACAAGTCAATCCACATAGAGAGATGGCTTGTGCGTGAAAGTTTCCCCTTCACAGACTCATCCCTTTTTGAAAGTGAGGGGAGGGGGACGGAATTTCTTGTGATGTCATGAATGTACACCCTCCGGTTTTCCAGTTAAAAGGGCGTTCATGTGCCTCAGAGAGTGGGCCTCAGAGCCGAATGTGGAAGCTCGGCGTGGTCTGGTGGACAGTGACAAAGCCAATACAGTACACACTGTAATGTATCACGCCGGATATGAGAACCGAAGCACATGCCAGCAAATGGCTCCGGATAACAAGAGTTGTGAGGCAAGCCACACACTACACAGCAAATCAAATCTCTCCCCCATATCCCAAGTGGCTCCTACTTTTCAGGAGAAGCTCTGAAGGTAGCACTGCAAATATGCACCTTTTGCAGTTTTCCAGGATCCAGCCTAAAGGCCCAAACTACGTGGTGACAGCAGTAAAACACACACAGCTTCCCCAGTTCTGTAGAAAGAGGTTTGTGTATCCAGGCGCCAAATCCTCTTTGCGCCTACTGCTTACCTCGCTGCAACCCCTCTCCTCCTGTAGGGTTTTTTTCTCCTAGCTAAACATGCTTCTTCTTCTTTTTAGTTTAGCTGACCAGAAAAAAGAACTGAAGGAGCGAAAGTGTATGGAGGTAAAGGGGGGGGGGGATTCTGAGCTTCTCACTTGCATTCCTCTTTTGTTGTTCAAGGGGCTTGCCCCTCCCCAGCCTTCTTTCTACGCAACTGGGGGTGGGTCCTCTGTTTGAATTCACAGAGCTGTCACTGTTGCATCCAGCTTGGCCCTTAGACTCTTTTGTTCCATTTTTATGATGTTTCAGTTGAAGAATGCATTATGTGGGAGCGCAACTGGTAGCAGTTAAATGTATAATAGTGTCTTTTTGGAAGGGAAAGAAATGTCAGCTATGGAAATGTGGATTGTTTAAATAGAGGAAACCCTAATAATGGACAAACTCTCTGAGTCACCAAGACATGACCTCTCCTCTCATCTGTATATGATTCCCAATCTTGCAAAATATGATAATCTTAATTATAAGATTATAAAATAAGGAAATCATAAGAACAGTCTCCTAAATTGGACCAAAGGTTAATCTAGTTCAGCATTTTTAATAAGCAGAGAGGCTTACAAGCATTACAGGAGGGCAAACAGATTTTCCCCCACTGGATCCTAAAACCCTGTGCAGTATAAGCAGAGCTTTCCTGTTTTCCCCCTCCGGCTTCAGTCCTCTATGACCCCCAGAACTGTGGGACAGTGGAAATCCAAGAACACAGTGCGGGGGAGGTGGCTGCAGTGAGAGAACAAATTGGCAAAAACTGTCCTCCCCCTTTCCATGAGTAGAAGCACAGGTGGAATGGCAGGGGTTAGGATCCAAGCCGACGTATTTAGAGGTACGCAGCCTCTGTACAGGTGTGACTTAGCTATCATGGTTAACAGTTGCTGATAGACCTGTCTTCCACGAATTGATCAAATCCTTTTTAAAAAGCCATCCATTAATGATTCAAAATAATCTGAATATATTAAGCTAGAGGCCTTCACATTTTCAGGTATGTGTACCACATATTTATTATTTATTTATTAATTTACATTTATATCCCACCTTACCGGTGCAGCACTGGCTCAAGGCAGTTTACACAGCTAAAATGCAATAGAACCAATAAATACAGTAAAAATTCACAATTAAAAGACAATTACATGAGGTGCTAATATATACAGATGGCAGCGATATACAGATATCTTATACATGGGGATAAGAGAAATTCACCAACATTTTCCCAGATGAAAACAGGGACATGCTTGTAGCACCCTAAACCTTAAGAAAGAGTCTGCACTGACAACATTTCAACAAGGCATTCCCAAAAGGTAAATATAGACGGCAGTGATTTACCACGCACAAAAACCAGAGAACAGGGATTGTCCATGGGGACAGTGGAAGTATACGGTATTACTCTTTGTAGTATCATTAAAACTTATTAAATAACATATTGAAATTGATGTTTTAAAGGATGTATATATGACCTTAGATGTCATGAAGATATAAACTATCCTGGATGTAAATGCCAGGCAGCTGGGAATTCTACACCAGCCATGGCATTAGGATCCAGAGGCAAGCCCTGGTCAAAAGACAGCAACACAGACAGGGCCATTGCCAGGGCAACTTGCTGCTTTGTTTATTTCCAAACAG